CTCGACACGGTGCCATTTTCTCTTTCTATTCGACCCTTATTCGATCCTTATTCGACCTTCGCGTTTCGCGCGAACGAACGAATCCAATCGAACAACAGCGTGAATTTTCGAAGCGAAGTCAAACGAACGCGAGATACCATGTGCCTCGCTTGGTCGCCTACGTTCCACGATGCTATCGAAGAACAGAAACTTCCTGCGACGGCCGTATTATACACGCACACGTACACGTACACGTATGCTATACATATCTACATTCACGTACATCGATAGTAAGTGGATTGTCGCGACTTTTAATTTACAATCGGGGATCGGGCGCGCCGTCTGTCCAAGGAACTCGGAGAAGGAAGAACAACCGCGGACAATCAGCCTCGTCCAATTTTCTTCCTCCGACGAAGAACGATGGCGAGGTGGTCTCGATGATAAAGGTTCGACTCTGCCAGGGACTCGCGAGCTGTCGACGACGAACGAAACTCGCCCCCTCGAGCCGAGTATAGAAAAAGAAACGTCCCTCAAACGACACTTCTCCCCTCGATACAATTAGTTTTTGAAATCACGATCAGCGGCTCTCGCAGTTCAAGTTCCATCTGTCTTCTACTCGGCGTTATATTGAATCGACAACCAGTCGGAAGTTGTGTCCGATCGAGCAGCAGCAGTTGCTGAAACACGCCGGTAGTCGACGACAGTCTCGCAGAGGATTCATGGTCGTCACCGGCAAACGGGCTATCGGAATTTCTCAGCCTCCTTACGATTTCTTCCCAGAACCGGTTATCGGAACGTCGCGCAGCTGCGTGCGCGAGGGAACTCTCCGAGGCCGCGTTAGACACGAACACCTTGCGAAGATAACGTGTCTAACGACAATTCCGGCAGACTCGAGTTCCAACGAGTTTGTATCCCGCGAGAGTTTTTACAGTCTGGCCGGAATTTCCCAAGGCTCTCGCCTCTCTCGTGCAACACACCCTCAAACAACGGCCGTGTTGACAACATTCTCTCAACTTTCTCGCGCGGAGACGTCTTCTCGGGTGTACTTGCTCGATCCCTCCTTCATCGTTGTTCCAGCTCGCAGTGGCGATTGATTCGCCGACCGAGGGGAATTTTTATTTTTCGCGTTGCCTGGATCCCGTTCGAGAACGTTCGTCCAGGAACGGCGGGATTATTTCCACAGTATCCTGCGGAACGCGCGGCGAAAGTCCTTGTTGAAGACGGTGTAGATGAACGGGTTCAGCGCGGAGTTCATGTAGCCGAGCCAGAACGCGATGACGAACGCCTGCGTGGGTATTTCGACGCGCGGGAACAGAGGTTTCGCGATGTAGAGGACGAAGAACGGCAGCCAGCAGGCGATGAAGCTGCCCATGATGAAACCGAGTATCAGCGTGGCACGTTTCTCCTTCTTTCTCGCCAGTCTCCTCTTCTCTCTCTCCGGGTCCCGTGGTTTCGACGATTTCGCCTCGACGCTAGCCTCGTCCTTGCCGGACGTACGCCCTCCGTCCCCGTGCTCTCTTCTGAACTTACCGAGATTCTTACGGCCGAAGATCGGCTGGCAGAGTCGGATCTTCAGAGGCTTCACCACCGCACACCTGGATACAACGCCACTGTCCGACGACGACGGGTCGAACTCTGACACCATGTCGACGTCGATGCCGACGCTGGGCGCCCTGCCTCGCGACGGCACGCTCGATTGGCCGTCGCCGTTTACTGACAGCGTTGCCTTCAGGCTGCTCTTTTGCACCGGGACTGGGATCGTTACCTGCTCAACAGACATTGGTAGAAGAACGTTTAGACCGAACATGCTGGTGTTTTGCACTCCAAATCAGACACCTGGGTGGCTTTGACAAAGTTCTCAGGCAGCATTATTTTTTTTACATTACTTTTCAAAGTTCAGTCCCAGGAATCAGTATCTATTTGTAAAGTAACGAAATTACGTTGTTAAGTATCTCGTAGAGAAATTAAATTCATTTATTTCCAATTAAATGATTTACTCGTTGTTTACTCGTGAATTAAATTATTATATTATTTACTATTTGCCAGGATCTTGATTTGTCATTTGATATTGGTGAAAATGACTGCTTTCTCAAGGTGTAATGTCCAACGTTTATATTTACTATGCCTTATTTCGCGACTACGACATAGTTACTACACTTACCTACAAACACAAGTTGAAATGGATGTCGCTGGTTATTTTGATGACGATAGAAGAAATTAGTAAAACAAATATTTATAAAATATAATATTCCCCTCCCCCAACACTTTAACAGATGTTGTTCATTACCCAAATTTTGTTCATCAAATGTTTGAGGAACGAGTCCTATTAAAAGCTACAAAAAACAATTTTCTGCCGTGACAACACATACCAATATATTTTTTTTTCTCATTTGAGTATTTTTATATTTATTTTAGGACAAGTCTTCTCGATTTATTATTTTTCCAATTATTTGCACAGCTTCAAATTCTTCTAATTGATCAAATCAGCTACATACCATTAATTGAAATCCATTATTTTGAAACAGATACTAAAGAACATTGTTTCAAAAATTTATTTGCAAATTATTATTCAAATTTTGCTCAAGTTTGCTCCGAATTAACCCCATTTGCAAATCATATCCACTTTTTTGCAAATCAAGCTCACCATTTCGCAGATCGAATTCACCTTTTTGCAAATGAAATTCACCTTTGGGGTGATTTAAAAGTGAAGTAACACACTTTATTTTTTCTACCACTATACTCTTCGATAAGGAACTCTATTGAACAAATTTTTTTCAGAAAGTAAGTTGCAAGAAGTATTTTGGCTGATCCTTCAAACTATGAATACTCAGTAGATGTTATTAATTATTCCGTTGTAACTATCATTCTTGCAGACTGTCACAGTCCATTATACGAATTTAATAACTAATGACAAATATATAAAACTATAAGCTTTCGGCGAGATCGGTTTATGCATCGCTCATAACGCACGGAAACAACGGTTCCAAGAAACCGTGCACGTACATGATCGATTCAATCTCGATACTCGAGCGTATAAAGTATTGTACTCTCGATTCGCGGGACTTTTATTCGATTCTGTTTGCACTATGGTACAGCCAGTACCATTAGGAAGGGTGGGGGGGGGGAGAGGAGGAAACTGAAATCCAATAGCGAATTTCTACTTTTGGAGATTTACTTTTAGAGTTTCTTTTTTTTTTTTTTTCTTTTTCTTTTTTGCGTTGCGTATCGGCGATATCTCGAGGAACGCGTGACTGTATCGCCAAGCAGGGATGCTGTATTCAGATGGCAGACCACGAAAAAGTTATTGAGTAAATGTATTGGGGATGCGAGCACGGAGACAGGTGTTTCCCTCGTGTTTCGTGCCATCCGAGACCGCACGATCTGCTACACACACTTAGAAAAAGGCGACACGTTTGACGTTCCACTTGCGAGTGGATGAGGGAAATTCACGGAAAATAAGAGACCAGTTGCGGAGGGTGGGGTATCGAGCCGGGATACGTTTGAACAAGCCGATAACGTAGGTTTCTTCGTATTCCGGGGTAACAAAGGCTAATGTTTGCTTGACTTCAAGTTCGAGCATGTATGTACAAGCACTTGCGGAATATAAAATGCGTGTCCGTAGCTCCGGAGTGTTATAGATGGTCTGATCTTGATGGGACCAACCAGTCAGAAAGAATAACGTCGTTATATGTATCGTACGATCCATTGTGCATCAATTCTCGAACAAGGAAGAAATTTTTAGAGAAAGAGTACTTTGAAAGCATTTTTCTATACAGTTACGCGAAAGTCAGGCGATCTCCACTTCATATTTTACGAAGTTTCTTTTCAAAATTTAATGCGTCAATTAGGTTAAGTGTACTCGTTCAGAAAGTATCGCTTGTTTTTGACGAGATCTATTTTAACTGGAATAATCTTTGTCATAAAAGATAATAAATAATCTGAATGTCAGTATTCTCTATTTCCGAATCATAACTAAATTCACAAGAAACGAAATTTAAATGCATCATTCTCCGTGTATTTTGAAGAGCACTTTATTTTGGATATATCATATATCTCGGATTATTTTGGCATTAATTTGAATTATAAAAATAGCCATGAACAGTATTTAAGTCACGAAGACTTCATACAGTGAATAGAAAAAAGGATTCACAACTTCTAAGAAGCTTCAAAAAAGTTCTAATAAATGTGGGTCGAAAAATTAATAGTTTTAAAGTTATAAACGATTTTTTGTTTCATTTGAAGAGACGAATTTCTTCGCTATTATATTGTATGTAATAAGTAGAAATTTATCTTATAATTCCTTCTTTTTTTTTTTTGATTACGGAGGATTTTCTACGTGTCCTCCTTCCATTTTCTATACATACTCGACATCTTCGTATTAAAGAATTACGTACTCTGTCAAAAATTCCCGTAAGCGTTCTTCACAACTTCAACTTCACAATTTCAACCGAAACGAAAGAATCTGTTTATTACTTTGAAACTATTAATTTTTCGATCCACGTTCATTAGTCCACTTTTTTTTCATCTTTTTTTCGGTCATCGAGCATTGTCTACTGTAGAAGTTACGAATCCTTCTTCCCACTCACTCTGCATAAGCCATGAACACTTTATTTCGGATACATCATATATCCCCATATATTTAGTTTAGCTGTTCAAACAAGAAACGTCGTTCGAAACGAATAAAGCGTGTTAACCTTCAGCGTGTCCTTTTCCTCCATGGGAATGCTGCTCCCCCCGCCAGGATCCGCTTCGGATGTGCTAACGTCGCTGGCAAAGTCGCAGGTGACAATGGGGATTTGCACGGGCTGGTTCTCGATGGTGGCGACGTTCTCCATCGCGGAGCCAGGCGGCTTTTTCGAATCAGTGGCTGGCGTGCTTTGCGTGAAGCTGGTCTGCCTGACGTCCGGCGATTCGGGTGGCACCACTGCGCGCGGACGTGGCTGCTTCCGGATGCCGCGGCGCGCACGGGCCTTCGCCGCGAAGTAAATGCGTATGTACACGAACACCATGATGCATGACGGGATGTAGAAGCTGCCGAGCGCGGAGTAAAGAACGTAGCCGATATCCTCCGAAAGCTGCAACAGAAACGGATCAACGTTAAATGGCCACTTTGTCACGTTTCGCGTCTTTGATGGCTGATCAAGAGTGGTAAAGATCAAGGTCACGCAATGCTCGTAACATAGATGTGCTCCAACCCAGCGTCGCAAATCAGGAATTTGACCACTTAAAAAATTATAAATTAAGAATTTGGTCCCCATAAATTTGGCGAGTCTCAAGTGTGATTCAGGTCTTCCGCACCAAAGGATTGCCATGGATGTCATAAACACGTGCGTACTCGAAGATGGTAGAAGTAATGGGATAGGAAATTTTGGAAATCTTCCACTATGCTTCCTGATTGTTCTTAACACATCCCCTGCTCTACGACTCCTCCTTTGGAAAGGATAATCCAAGGCTCGATAAAAAGGAGAACTTTGAGAAAATTAAGGCACTTCTTAAAGCAGTTTTTAAATCAGTTTTTCACAAGTTGGCAGTTCTACAAGCAGTATGTTAAACAATATTCAAAGGCAATTTTTTTTACGAGCAGCACTCAGTGGTAGTAATTTTTAACATTTTTTTGATTCAAGCAAGTATCGAGTAGAAACCATTAAGGGAAACCTCAGAGGTACACGATTGACACCAACTTGACTGTTCTTAGAAAGGAGATTCGTCGCGCGAAGTTTCGTCGTTTCAGCTAATGAACGAACACGGTCTGTAGACTGGTGAAGTTTCTTCGATAATTTTTACAAGCAACAAAGCTTTTTTCGTCGTTCGAACGAGTGAAATGCGTGATCGTTTTGTGAAGGTTTTTTTTTT